TATTAATGCTTCTACGTTGCAACATAGTTATGGGGGGTTTTTTTGGGTGATAGGAAGGGTGTCAGCTGTGTAAAGCAGTTTCCTTTCTCCTTAAGGAGACTCTATGACAGGACTTCATATGCTTAGAAACTTAGGTATCTAGTACATCCTTCTTACAGTGACTGCCATCCACCACTGCTCATGGTAAGAGGTAAGAGGACTGAGGTGTTGATAACACTCTTGCTCACAGTTGGGTTGCATGCAAAGCTTAAATCCCGTGGACAAAATATTTGGTCCATAGAGGGAAGATAATGAAATAGATTTTATGGCCTCCATGTTTTTCCCAGCACAAATACTCTAGTGAATGGGCTTGGGTTTTGCCTCCCAGTGATGACAATGCCCATGGCCCTGGTGTCCTGAGCTTGGATGTGGCATGACTTGCTCTTCTTGTCTCTCGTAGTCCCATAAATGAAGTATCTGTTGTTTTACCAAAGGCGAGAGCTACAGCACGATTACTTTTTGCTGCCAGCCCAGGCCATGATATCTGTGAAGTGCTCCTCCTACCACCTTGCTTCCTGGTGCGTGCTGATGGGAGATGCTGCACATGCTGTTGTGCCCTTCTACGGACAGGGCATGAATGCAGTAAGTTCATGGCTGACCCTGGGCAGTGTCACTTGGGTCCCAACTCTTTTAATCTAGAAATGCCTGGTTTTTAGAGTGAACTCCAGGGAGTTCATGGGCTGGCCTGTCCCACAGTGTGATGTCCTCTGCATTGGCAGGTGTTGAACTTCCCTCAGACACCTGGATGCTCACTGGGGCTGAGCTGTCCTCCAGGGAGGACAGGCAATGTGGCCCCTTCCTATGGGGCAGAAGGCTGCATGGGAGAGGGTCCAGCCCCAGGCTGCAGGGAAAGGCAACCTCACGGATTTCTCTGCGAGATCCATGGCAGAGTGACCTGGAGTAAGATTCCTGCTCTGAAGCTGTGGGTCAGTGGGACCCTGCACATGTGAACAGTTACACTAGCTGAGCATTTGTGAGGGCACTTCTTGTAAATGTGTTGGTCCTTCTGTCTATTTACCCTCTAATTTTCCTTTCAGGGCTTTGAGGATTGTCTGGTCTTTGATGAGTTAATGGACCAGTTCCACAATGACTTTGGTGAGTGAGGTGGCTGGGGAAGACAGAGAGGAGAGGAGGATCCCTCTGCAGCTGAAGGCTGCTAGATACCATGCTGGGGAGCTGCCTGTGAGCTGTCACTTTCTTCTCCCAGGTGTCTGCCTCCCTGAATTCTCCAGGCTGAGGGTGCCAGATGACCACGCGATCTCAGACTTAGCCATGTACAACTATGTAGAGGTAACTGAGCCACACACAGACTTGTGGTCCTGTGGGCTATGGACATGGTGGCACCCTGGTAATACTGACAGGTTGTTCTGTCACAGATGCGTGAGCATGTGAATTCAACATGGTTCATTTTCCGGAAGCACATAGACAACTTCCTCCACACCCTCATGCCTTCCACCATTGTGCCGCTGTACACCATGGTAAGGCCAGCACCTATGTCCCCACTGCCTGAGCCACGGCAAGCTCCTCCTGGCTGGCTGTGAGGCCGTGACGTGCTCCCGCAACCCTCGCAGGTGACCTTCACCAGGATTCGCTACCATGAGGCTCTTCAGCGCTGGAAATGGCAGGAAAAGGTTGGTCAGTGCTGGTGCCCGTTCTCCCCGTGCCACGAGCCTCGTAAGCTCCACATCCTGCATGCACGCACTGCTCAGCTGCAGTGGGGGAGCTTTGGTGGTGGGATATTTCTAGGTGGGTGCAGGTGTGAAGGCTTTGCTTGGTGCTGCAGAGTAGGAATGAACCTCTGATGACACTGGGGTTTCTCTTTGCACTTGCAGATAATTAATCGAGGGCTTTTGGTCATGGGGGCAGCAGGACTGGGTGGCACCTACCTGCTCATAAAGCGGCTGGCACGGGACTTGGACTTCTGCACAGAAAACTTGTGGTGCTGGTCCCGTTATCTGAAGAATATTGGAAATTTTCCCTTTGGCACACAAGAGGCTTAAACGTAAGGGGAGCTCCTGGCTGTAATAAAAGTGAAGGCACAAGCTGTTGTCTCAGCTGAATGATATTTCGCCTGGGATGTGGCTTGGCAGCTCCTGCAGTCCCTCTGCTTCTTGTCCCCTCAGGAGCAGCGGTGGTCCCTCTCCCTGGGTAAGAGGAGCCCACTGGGGCACACAGTGCCTGGAGAGCCTTTGCATGGTCTCAGGCACACCTCTGCCTCTCCTCAGCAGCCTTGTCTCAAATGATGCAGTGTGTCATGGGCTAGGAGTGGGTTTTGTGTGCGGTGGTAAGGGGGGCATGCACCCTCCCAGCCAGCAGGATAGCCATCTGAACCGACAGGGGTGTCCCAGCCTGTACTGCTGACTTCTGCTCTTAGCAAAAGCAAGTCAACATCTCAGCTTGAAAATCAGTTGGCTTCCTCCCCACCTCAGGTTAAAGAAAATACGGTTCTGTTATTCTTGGTGGAAATTAAACAGCTCATCCTGGTTCCGTGTAAAAAGGGGTTCAGGGCAGGACCCACACGGAACGGAACTATGTACTCGCCTCTCCCCCCCCCCCC